ATTGTGAAAGCCTAATAGCTATATAATTAGAGTTCTGGAAAGAAAAGATGGGCAAGGGACAATATTTGAAAAGATAATGGCTAAAAACTTCCCAGAACTAGTGAAAGAATACATATTGCAATGAAGCACAAAAGACACATCATCCTGGAACGCAAGACAACAGAACTGATAGAGAAAGCAGGGGGATTCCCAAGGAATATGCCAATCTGATTGACCACTAATTCCTCAGTAGTAAGTAGAAAGGAAAAGCCAGGGAATGTGTAATTACCAGCCAGAACTGTACCTCAAACAGAAATACCCTTCAGGAGTGAGGATGAGATACATTTTGCAACACGTAAGGTTCAAAGGAGTTCGTCACTAGTAGGCCATCCCCAAAGCAGAGTCTGAAGAGCATATTTCATTCAGAAAAGAGTGATACCAGAGGAAAGGTCTGAGATGCAGGAGGAATTATGAGCAAAGAATGTGGAAAGATAAGGACAGTAAAATGATGATAATGTTCTCATGGATTAGAGGAAGGAGAAAGTACAAGCATCCAAATAATTCCACGTAAATCAGGGGAGGAATGATCAGAGTTAAAGTGGTCTCACTTGCTGTTGTACAATAGAGGGTCAAGATACTGATCTCAACTTTACATGGTTTATACAGCTGCCAGAATGAACAGAGTAGCTACTTAACAAAAGTGATCTATAGATTCCAGGGAGTGTTAAGTTATTTTTTATTTTTTTGAAATTTGACAGAGTGATTCTAAAATTTATTTGGAAGGAAAAAAGAATTACTCTTATACTCTTAAAGAATGGGGATGGAAGTAGGGTGCTATGTGTGACTTGCCCTAACTAAATGACAAGAATCAGAATGGCAGTTATCAAGAATACAAGTAACAATAAGTGTTGGCGAGGATGTGGGGGAAAGGCACACTCATACATTGCTGGTGGGACTGCAAATGGTTGCAACCACTCTGGTAAAAAGTGTGGAGATTCCTCAGAAAACTTGGGATGGAACCACCATTTGACCACTTATCCCACTCCTCAGCATATACCCAAAGGACTTAAAATCAACATACTACAGTGACACAGCCACATCAATGTTTATAGCAGCTCAATTCACAATAGCTAAGCCATGAAACCAACCCAGGTGCCTTCCAACAGATGAATAGATTAAAAAAATGTGGTATGTATATACAATGGAATATTACTCAACCATGAGAAAGGATGAAATTATAACTTTTGCCAGTAAATGGATTTATTAGGAGACTATCATGCTAAGTGAAATAAGCCAATCCCCAAAAAACAAAGGTCAAATGTTTTCTTTGATATGCATATGCTAACACACAACAATCCCGGAGGGGAAGAATAAAAGTTCAGTGGATTAGACAAAGGGAAATAAAGGGAAGAAGGGTGGAGAGGAATAGGAAAGATAGTAGGAAAAAATTTTAAACTATAAATAAATAGAAAATAAATAAAGTAGAGGAAAGGGAAGTACTGGGGGCTGAATTAGAGCAAATTATATTCTATGCTTGTATAATTATGTTAAATGAACTGTATATTATGTATAACTAAGTGAACTAATAAAAAATTTAAAATTTCAGAAAAGAATTATCAAGCTAAAATACTTGTATGGTATTGGCATAAAATAGAGAAATCTAAAACTAATTCCTAAATGGAAGCAATGTAAGACTAAGAGGTGTTTCAGTCAAAGGAAGAACAGACATATTTTTCAATGATTAACGTTAGGACAATTAGTAACTGTTTAGGAAAAAAATTAGATCTGTGCTTTACACTGAATATATAATCTCAGGTTGGATTAAAGATGTAAGTATGAAAAAGCAAAAATATAAATCTTTTAGAAGACATTATAATACAGAATCTTTATGACCACAATATAAAGAAAGATTTCTTAAAATTACACAAAAAGTGCAGACCGTAAAGGTAAAAATTGATAAATTCGACTTTATTAGAGTTAAGACCATCTAAGATACCACAAAGATACCGTGGATTTAGTCTGTCTCCATTAAGGCCACATTCCGAAATATTTAATAATGAATGATCTTGCATCTGCTTTGAAACTGCTCCAGAAAACAACGCAAAGAGAGAGGAAACCAGAAGGTAGAGTGTTGGACCGACGCAGTGGTGGGCACCGCCCAGAAGGCTGAGGCGGAGGACCAGGGTGGGAGGCCAGCCTAGGCAACAGGCCGGGACCCCGTAACCCTCACGGCTGGATGGGAGCAGGAAGTGTATTAAACTCTCTATTTTCTGTGTGTATAATTGAAATTGTATATTTTTTAAATGTTTTTCTTTTTTAAGTTGACCATCATAGATTTATTGCAATGCCCAGATTGTTCAGAAGTGTAAACTTTTTAAAAAATATCATTTCCTAGCCAGGCACAGTGGCACACATCTGTAATCCCAGCTACTTAGAGAGGGAGGCAAGAGGATCACAAGTTCAGGGCCAACCTGGGCAACTTGACAAGACCCAGTCTCAAAATTTTAAAAATATGTTAAAAGAGCTCAGGAAGTAGCTTGAGGGTAGAGCCCTCCTAGGTTCAATCCCCAGTACCCAAAACACACAAAAATATTGTTTTCTGAAAAGACTGTTTGTTAAATATATATCTAAAGGCAATCTGAGTAGGAATTTTCTTACAAATTAATAAATCACAAAACAATTTTTTTTAAATTAGGTGAAGACATTTGTAACACATAGAACCAAAAGATCAGTGTCTAAATATTAAGCAAAGAACTCCTGCAAGTCAAGGGATCTGAACAGACATTTATCCAAAGAAGATATGATGCCAACCAGCACATGGAAAGACTCTCAATATCGTTAGCCACTAGGGAAATGCAAATCAAAACCACAGCAGAATATACTCTTACCCACTAGAATGACTAGAATCAAAAAGAGATGATAACAAATAAAGGAGATATAAAATGGTAGTTTTGAAAAGTTGAGCATTTCTTCAGATAGTTAAACATAGAGCTACCATATGACCAAGCAATTAATTTCATTCCTAGACTTATACTCAAAAGAAATGAAAACGTGTTCAAATAAAAAATTGAACATAAATGTTTATAGCAACATAATTGATAATAGTAAGAGGTAGAAACAACCCCAATGTCCATAACTGATGAATGGATGTATAAAATGTAGCATATATACACAATGGAATATTATTCAGCCATAAAAGGGAATAGAGTATGCATGTGTATCAAAGTGTGGAGGAACTTTAAAACATTATGTGATGCAGGCATGTGATGCATGCTCAGGAGGCTGAGGATGAAGGATGACAAGTTCCAAGCAGCCTCAGCAACTTAGCAAAGTCCTGAGCAACTTAGCAAGACCCTGTCTCAAAATAAAAAAATAGAAAGGGCTGGGGATGTGGCTCAGTGGTTAAGTACCCGTGGGTTCAATCCCTGGTACCCACCCCCCCAAAAAAAACCTGGTAATCACAAATGACAAAAGATGGTAGTCACCAATGACCGTGTGTTGTGTGATTCCATTTATTTAAGATGTCCAGAGTAGGAGAATTCTACACAGACAGAAAGTCGATTAGTGGTTACCTAAGTCTGGAGCATGAGAAGTAGAGGAGTGATGGCTAAGGGATACGGGGTGTCTTTGAGGGTAATGAAAACGTTCTGAACTTGTGATAAAGGCGCGACTCTAAACATAGCAGAAGCTGTGGAATTGTACACCTTAGATGAGCACATTGTATGATATGTGAATTCTCCCAATGAAGCTGCTTTTAAAAAGCAATAATAACTCAACAGGAAAATAAACAAGGCACCTCCAGCCGTGTCACAGAGGAGACACTTGAAAAGAGACTCGGCCTCCTTCCTAGCAGGAAAACGCCAGCTAAACACAGTGAGATGTGTAAACTCATTTGAGTCACCCACAACTGCAAACTGAGCAGGGCCTTTTCTCTACCTGTAAGGGATGCGGAGAAAGTGAGGGAAGCCCAGTCCCTGTCGCACAGTGTGGATGACCTGGCATTCCTCTCCTCTGTAAACCCAGAGCTGGCTCCAGGGGCGTGCTGGGCCATGGAGACAGAGCCACAGGAGCACTGTAGACCCAGACCACTAAGAACCCCACCAAACGTTACCGAGGGACACATGGACGTGGTGATCAAACACTGTTAAAAACAAGGGGGATCAATGTAAAATTCAGGATAGTCGGAATGGGAAAGAACAAAGAGGGTCTAGCAGGGATGCTGAGGATGCTGTGTCCCCATGTGTCCCCACCTTAAACTTGGTGGTGGGGACACATGGGGACACAGGCACGGGGGTAGAACACAGAGCATTATCTGACAGGCTGACGTTGAGGAAAGATTTTGAAAATCTCAGAACACATGGAATCATACAGTTTTCCATGCAGCTCAAAGTGCTAATGCTGACTCTGAGATTCTAGAAAAGATGAACATATTTGAGAATCCAGGGCTTTGTTTATGGATGGATTGAAACAGGGTCTCACTGTCTTGCCCAGGCTTTGGGCCTGGTGGTAAGCTCCTGTAGTTCCGGCTACTTGGGAGGCTGAGGCAGGAGGATCACTGAAACCCAGCAGTTCTAGACTAGCATGGGCAACATAATGAGGCTTGGACTCTTTTATTGGTTTGTTTGTTTTAATTGTAGGTTTATTTATTTTAGATGTAGATGGACAGTATCTTTCTTTATTTTTAGGTGGTGCTAAGAATCGAACCCAGTGCCTCACATGTGCCAGGCAAGCGCTCTACCACTGAGCCACACCTCCAGCCCCGTGGAGTCTTAAAAATAAATAGATAAGCTAAAATACAATTTTTTACGAGAGAGAAAAACACAAAACCAAGAAGACTATCAAAAAAAGCAGCAGCAGCAAAACAAATGTTTTAGGAAGGTTTCCAGCAAAAGTGGTTAAAACAAGAGTTTTGTTCTTCCAGGGGAACATTCGGGTGGCACTTCTTTAGGAAAACCATCCATTGCTGGGAAGCCGTGAGCCGCTCTGTCCCGGTCACTCAGTGGTTGGCATTCTCTTTCCAGATCCTGCTCACACTAACAGATGAACCGCGAACGCACAGAGGAAGAACCTGTCCACTGCTCCTGGGCGCGTGACTGAGGGTGAAGCATCCGCCAGTGCTGCCAAGGGTCCGTGGTATTTTTTTTGCTGCCTCAGAGTCCCCAAGGCCTTCAAGCAGAAGTGGCAGTAGATGGTTGCCATCTCCAAGCGAGACACTGACTGGGACAACAGGAGAACAGAACCTCTGGGTTTGGGTGGAACTTGGCAGTGGGGACGTTCAGCTGAGGCCTTCTCTACTCATCCGAGCACACGTGTGTCTTCACCTTCCCTCACCCCCGCCCCAGCCGGCTCAGGTCTCCTCTGTCCCTTTCCTGCTGCCACACAGAGATGATATAAAAGAGGCTCTTTGGCTATTCGCATCTTGCTTCCTCTTCTTTTCCAGTATTGAGCTCTGTTTGCTTTGTTCAAGCTTAAAGCCCCAATAGCAGTACCTACCAGAACTGTTCTGCCCTTTCAGGGTCCTGGGGAAGGGAGCGCACATCACCCGTTTCCCAGAGCGTGGAGGCAGGTTGGCCCGCGCTGACATGAGCCAGGGTAAAGGCACCCTTTGGAATTACTGATTTCTAAGATTAATAAAGTAATTCTATTTTTTTTCTTTTCTTTTTTTTTATTTAATAATTCCCAACAATCAGTATTCACAATCAAGACTGAAATAGAACCAACTTTTCATTTTATTCCATTGCTGGACAATTTTTTCAATTTGTTAGAAACGGAAGCTTTCAAGAACTGTGTTTCAGCAGATGATGGATCAGGCTGTTCCCCCAGGGCAGCACCTGGGAAGCCCTGTGTACAGATTCTCCACAGCCAGGCTGCAGCTGGAGGCTGGCCCCTGTGGTCCTCTAGTGGCATGTGACTCTGTCCCGTTGCCCTTCACCTCCCTCAAAGTTCATGTGGACAGAGCAGCTCTGCCTGGACCACGCGGCACTTGGCCCTCTGCTGTCCTTCCCTAGGTCCTCACTCTGGCTTCTGCTGGAGAAAAGGCTGAGAGCCAGGCCACAGGCTTGACCTAGCTGTCCTGGAGAGTCACTCAGGGAGAATCCAGTATCTGGGCCTTCTACAGCAAGGTCCTATAAGCTCAGCATTGGAATCCAAAGAGAAAGCGACATACAGAGATTAAAAGGGGCTTTACTGCCTTCCCGGAGACTGAAAAAAAAAGGTTTGGGCACATAGAAGCACTGTGCCTGTGCAGATTGAGGTCTCATTCCATGTTCCCAGGACTCCTGGATCCTGGTTTGAGAACCATCATAACTCTGTTCACTGGTTTGGGAGTTGGTTAAGAGACAAATTAGAATTCCTCCCTCCATAATCTCCTGCTGATATCTAGAGTTGGGAAATAAGGGATTTGGAGAAACTCACCAAATGAATCTTGTGGAAAGGGGTAAGAGGGTATGAGTCTAATAAAAGAACTTTGAAAGCAACTGTAATGCTGGGAATTGGCTACATAACTAATCAGACTTAAATGTTCAAGTTAAAATCTTTCTTCATTCGCTGTGTGTTGACCAGGTGCTAAGACCAGATTCCTGACCTCCCTTCCTGTACCCATGTCCTCTCATTTTTATTGGTAACAAACCAGATTATTCAAGCCTTCTTCCAATAGAGGTATCTGTGTGTGTGTGTGTGTGTGTGTGTGTGTGTGTGTGTGTGTGTGTGTGTGTGGTGGTGGTGGTGGGCCTTGTGCTTGCAAGGCAAGCACTCTACCAACTGAGCTATATCCCCAATCCTAGGTATCATTTTCAATGTCACTGTACCCTTCCCCAAAACTAGCATGTATCTTTGGAGACATTGATTCCAGTGTCTGTAGTGCCTGTAAGTGATAATGGAAAGGGGAGGCTGGACACTAGACTCTGCTCATATCCCTATCAGCTGCTTAATGGAAGAGTAGCTTTCTGACAAAGAATATTTGGGCTGGGTGCAGTGGTGCTCTCCTATAATCCCAGCTCCTTGGGAAGCTGAAGCAGGAGGATCTCAACAACTTAGCAAGACCCTGTATTAAAATAAAAAGGGCCAGGGATATAATTCAGTGGTAAAGTGTCCCTGGATTCAATCCCTAGTACCAAGAAAAAGAAAAGAAAACATTTGGAATCACAGTATGTTCTGTTTTCTTTGGGATACTTCAGGAAACACATCTAGTTGTGTTGGTTCATTAAGATGGACCACCATCTGTGCTAATGGTGTTCTATGAGGTTGGATTAAAACAGAGATTTAGTCTAAGGCCAAAAAGTTTATTTGCTTCTTATTGAAACCCAAAGTAAGGCCCAGTAATGTCAGATACAACACGCCACTTTTCAGAATGCAGTTCTTAGGCATCCTGGACCCTGCCCCATTCATAAAGCCAGCTCTTGAGCTGCTGCCTGGAATTGTACATTTTCCCTAAACACAAAGGTGATTCTCAGGCTCACTGAAATTTGAGAATGGCAGCCACAAGTGAATGCACTGTGACATTTGGGATAATACCCGCTACAGCTGGCCTCCTGGACCACCCTCTCTACCCACTGGCTCCAAAGGTAAGATGGAGCTCGTTCCCACGCCAGGATTTTAGGGCGGGGACCCATTATAGCCCCTCTGAAGGACAGTGAAAGACACAGGATGAAGACAGAGAGAAGCCTGGAGAATTGGCTGGGCACACATGGAGCCAGAAAAGGACTCCTGGTGACCAAAGTCGGAGGAGCAGAAGGCAGAGGCCTGTACCCACAAACCGCCTGAGCCTATGTTGTGTGTATCCTTCAACACGCAACTGTGCTTCAGAGAGACTGTTCCCTGTGCTAAGGTGAGCTCACTGGGGGCAGGTGGTTTTTAGGAGCTGCTAGGTGGTTCCTCACTCTGCACACTCACAGGGTGGACACCAGTGCCATAGCCAAATTCTGCCTTGCTTTGGGATCTGTGACTTCAAAAGAGCACTAGTGATTCTTTCCCCAAAGCCCTAACAAGAGGCCCCTAGTCTGAAAGGGCTCCTGGTTGACTCCTTTAGACAACCCAATAACAGAATTAGCCTCATTCTTAGGCCATTGATCACAGGCGGTTTCTCTCATGCTCAGCTGATCTGGGGGGCTGAGATGTAATTTCCAAAAATGCTGATATTGGTCATTTAGATTGAAAGTAGAAGCCACATTTCCATATGCAAGGGTTCACATTGCCAGTCATGTGGAACGTCAAATTCTAGGCTTTCTGCGAATCTGAGCTACTGCCTGTGTGTATTTGAGAATAACATACTGTGCAAGGAGGGACACACGGACAACAATGCTATTTTCTCAGGTGACAGGAGGCAGCACAGACCCTCTGTCCAGCAGATTCAGGCTAAGCGATATTTTTAATGCTTGAGAGATTCTCTGCCCAGATTCCAGTTACCACTAATTAGAAGATGCTGACATAGAATTAAGAAAATGGTTATTAAGGATATGAATGGCGTGAGACATATACCTTAGAATAAGGCTTTTACTGTTCTAGAAACAATCTTCCAGAAGATGAAATCATCCACAATTCCCCAAAAATATTTATTCATACAAAGATTTTGAGAGTGATATTTGTACTTGTCTTTATACCTCAGTCAACTCATCTTGGGCCAAGTCACCACATGGCACATGTGGTGCAGCCTCCCCAGATGCCTCCCGTGTGGCACCAGCTTCCAGGAGGACCAGGTGGACACAAGGTCTCGAGAACTTGGAGGAGAGGAACCCCTCATGCTCAGAGGCTGCACAGAACCAGAATCCAGATATGTGCACCCTGGCCTGGAAGGTGTCCAGCCAAATGTCCAAGGGGAAATGTGATTGAGGATGAAGGCGAGAGGAGGGACCCGGAGGGCGGACAGGAAAGGGCCAGTTCCCACCCTTTGCTTCTGAGTTCAGCATCTCCAGGGGCCAATACAGTTGCTGGCCCAGGAACCATATTACATTACCTGGAATGACCCATGATGCTGCCTGAGGTGGAAACGACAATTAAAAAAAAAAAATTGTCCTTAATCCCAGGTAGTACAAGGTGCAATTCTGAGACTTTGTCTTGGTGACCTGTCTGAAGGAAAGTGCTTGCCTCCTATGACACCATCCAGATTCCCCTAGAGCAATTGTGGTACAGCATTGAGCAAAGCTGACCTCAGATCCGAAGAGTCTTCCAGTCTGAGCCTGACCCAACCATCCTCTGTCCTTCCTCCTCCCTATTGTACCCAAGTCCCATTGCCACGTGACATGTCAACTTGTCCATCCTCTTCCTCTAGCCCCACCACCTCTGTCTGCACCACAGAAAACCTGTGTCCCCAAGAGTTCGCCTTCCCCTAACCACCCCACACTTTCTTTACCACAGTGATTCTCAGAGCCAGCAAGAAAGAAATGTTCCAGAAGGAAGCTTCCGTCTCGGCCAAATGCCAGGAGCCGAGGGTTGTGGACGCCAGGCCTCTAGGTGAGGTCTGTCACTTTGGGTTTCCCGAGGCGCGGGCAGTCGGGCAGGGGCAGCTCTCCCTCGTCTGTCGCAGGCCTCAGCTACACTTACACGACTTCACCACCATGTTGGAGAGCTGCTCCACCTTGGGGGTCCTCCCGACATAGTACAGAATGGTCAGGGGCTCCAAGTCCTGGGGCACACAGCAAGGTGAGGCCGACGCTTCCGGGTTCAGGGTGTTATACAGCCCCAGCACCTGGAGTTCAGGGAAACAGCATTTAGAGGTGGGAGAGCCATGCCCCAGGCTTGCAGCCCAGGAAACTCTACAAGGTCTCAAAGACAGGGCAAGTGGTAGAACAGCCATTGATGCTACGTAACAGGACTAGTGGGAACAGTTTGGATGACTAGTTGTGGCCATCCCCTAAGGCAGAATGCAGAACACGCATTGTTTGAGGGCTATCAGTTTAAGCATATCACAGTTATCAGAGGACTTTCAATTAATAAGGAAAGTCTTTTGGCTGGTAAGAAAATACTCCTATACTGGTCTTAGTATAAAGGATCACTCTGGCGGAAAATGGTCTCATTAATGACTGTGGAGGCCATTTAGGAAGTGCCAGGGCGCGCCCCCCCCCCACACACAGGATGCAGGGCTAATGAGCTATAGGGAAACGTGCTTTGTGAAGACTGCCCTATTTTAATTCCCCTTGAGGAAAGACATGCTGCAGAGGTGTGAACTCTTTTGCTCACTTTCTCTTCCTGGAGTTTCAGGGCTGCTTCAGAATATGCTTTACATTGTCTCTCAGAACGATGTTTGCACATTCGAGAGACTGCAGCTGTCAGAGTTCTTTGGTAATGGTGACATTTCTTCCCCAACATTCCCTGCCAACCATGTACACACATCTCTGACATATAATTAACTTCTCTGGAACAAAAGCTTTAGACAAAGCAAATACAAAGTCTGGTTGAAACTATGGTAGGGACTTTTTGTTTTTGAAGCTGAGATCCAACCCAGGCCCTTATACTCACTTGCACTCTTCCACAGAGCTGGTCCCTCCAGCACCTGTGGAAGGATTTTTCCTTTCTAATAGTAGATATTGAACCCAGGGGTGCTCTACCACTGAGCTACATTCCCCAGCCCTTTTTATTTTTTATTTTGAAACAGGGTCCTGCTAAGTTGCCAAGGCTGGCCTTGATTGCGAACCTCATGCCTTAGCCTCCAGAGTTGTTGGGATTACAGGCATGCACCACCACACCAGGCTCTGGGGGGAATTTTAAAAGGCAGGTTGTGATCAAGTAGAATTAGGCCAGGGTACAAGGTCAGAACCTTTAATGAAGAGATTTTACTCACCCCAAATTATCATTTGCTCATTTAACATTCAATCATTCATTTCTTTTAACAAGTGGCCTGCTCAGCTCAGCCCCAGTGCCCAGACGGCATGTGCCCTGCTCCCTACCGTGCTGTGGGTCGTGTCTGCACTGCGGAGATAAGGACAGGGGCCTGAGCAAAAGTTGGCATAGTAGCCCTTAGGTTCGTGGACCCACTTCCAGCCCAGGTCCTGTCGGAAGTCAATGTAGAGGGGCCGCACACAGCAGTTCTCCTCCAAGTTGCTACAACAGAAAACATTAAACAGAAGATCAACCTAAATGGAAGCCACCAATAAAAGAAACTTCACAGATGCCTTTATATTTTCCCCTGGAATCCTTCCATGCTACCGCAGGAGGTGGGCCTTCACCAGAATCCCTCGCACAAGCACATGGTATAGAAGAGACTGGGAGGTGTCTCCCTGTGTTGAGCAGCAGGATCTCAGCCATGCAATAGGTAGATATAAATGCCACAGAAGGAAAAGTGAAGAGCTAAAAGTGACCCTGTCACCTTTTACATCACACATCAAAACAGACATAAACTGTCCCACACACGACCGAGCACTCACTTTACGTTATCAGCCATGTCCGCTTTGTTGGGGATAGCTTATCATGACCCTCCTGTTGCACACCCAGCCAGAAAGAAGCTCACAGATTATGCAGCTTGTATTCTACTAGAGATGACTGCTCAGACTAAATCTTAAGGCCATTTAGCCAAAATAAGGTACAGCCTCCTATTAGAATCACGATCCTCAGGTCCCACAAGTGTGAGTGGCAGGCCCCTCCAATGTGGTTGCCTGCAGAAATCCACTTGGTAGGACTCCTTGCCACATGGGCATCAAGACTCCACTTTAACGGGTCTCTTCCGCGACTTAGATCGTGGTACTTCCACAGGCCTCTCGGGCCACCATTGGACAAAGTCTGGCTTCTGGAGGGTTCTAAGGTTGAACCATGGCATAAACTACTGGTTATCTATGCAATCATCACCCCAAATGCCCTCTCCCTTGCCACCTCCCGTTATGGAGTCTGGAATACCAGATACTCGTTTTCCTAGCCTCTCTAGCAGGTAGGGATGGATGGTCCTGTGGCCCAGTCATGGCCAGCCACAGGAATAAGAAGTGTGCAGGGGTTCATGAAAACAAGTTCTGGCAAAGACATTTGGTTATAAAAGTAACAGAAAGGAAAGGAAAGCTGCTGGCTCCTCTCCATCTCCCCTTCTCCTTGCCCTAAACAGGGACAAGATACCTGAAGCCCCAGCAATCCCTTGTGGCCATAGGCAAGAGGATGAAGTGCCACCGTACCACGTAGGGCGGGCCAGAAGACAGGAAAGCAGCGACCTGAATGGCGTAATTAGGCAGCCCTCCGCCTGCTGCCACAGGCCTCCCGTGCATCAGAAATCCCCTGTGGCTTAAGTCACTCATTCCTCACTGATCAAGAGATGCCCAGGACAGACCTGCACGTCAGCTTTCAGACTGGTGGTGACAGCCACCCTGCCTTTCTCATAGCCTCAGTTCCCAAGCCCAACATCCTATTTACCCAGTTGTTTTTCACAAGACACAGTTTCCACATCAAAGATGCCTCCAGCCCATCCTTCCCACTCCATTCAGGAATCTTCTCCAGTCAGACTGACCCCATCCTGCTCCTGCCAGATCCCCACATGCCCAGATCCCTCCCATCCTAAAGGCAAGCTCAGATTCCACACCCTTCTGAAGCCTTTCCTGTATCCATGTGTGAACTCCTTGTTCCCAATTGTTAAAGTCCTTTATCCTTCAGACCCTCTCCTGATGGGAACTTTTTCTACCTTTTAATATTCAGTCTGCAGGCTTTATCCACCTCCCTCCTACAGCAGTTCCATGCTCCCGAAGAAGGGGGAAAGCTGCATCTTTCCCATCTCTGCATAGGAGCTCCCCAATTATTTCAGAATCTGTAGATTTCTCTAGATCAGATTTCCCCTATAAATGGACACTATTTTCCCCCCACCCCTAGCTCGCCAGGAGCCTGCCCAGGGAACTGAGCAGGTCTTCACTGGAAACCCCTGCCTTAATCTCCCACACAAACACACCCTCCAACTACTTAAAACACAAAACCACAGAGGCTTCCGCCAAGTGTTCCCAGTCCAAACTATTCTCTCAACACTGTCCTCCTTGAAGTTTCCCTCTTTTACTGCATCTAGACCCTTACAGAGTCGGGCGGCAGAAAAACAGTGAGGCTCCCAGGAAAAATAGGAAGATTTTTGTGAGTGATTTCCAGTCTTCTTTCCTGGAGATATTTGCGAACATCATCCTACACCCTGGGCGAGTGAGGCTTAGGTGGGGGCCTGTGCCCAGGGGGCAGATCTAGGTCTGCGTGGGGCCCAGGCTCACCGGAAGCAATAGTTGGTGTCCAGGGCCCGCTTCTTTCTCTGGCCTCCCTGGCCTGGGTTGTCGAGCCGGTGCGGGGGAATCATCATGAGAATCAGGTGAGGGTTGTGGTGATCCTTCTGCTTCTTGAGGCGCCCCAGGTCTCCACGGCCATGGTCATCCTCATTGTCCACACCTGCAGAAGGGAGGGAAGGTGACAATCTCCGGTCTAAGGAAAGCAGAGTCCTTGGAGGCTGCTTCCTCATCCCAGCCCATCTCTGCCCAGGAAGAAGGGCAGGGCTGTCTGCTGGGAAGGACATTGTAATCTAACATTCTAATGTCCCGCCATA